CTGGTTTGTGGCACAGAGGGGATTAAACTTCCCAAAAGATAAAACGTTGGCAAAAAGGTTTTAAAAAAAAAAAAAAAAAAAAAACTTTTCAGATTCACTTTTTTCTGATTCAGATTTCAAAACTTTTTTTTTTGTTTCATTTGAACAAACTTTATGGCCCCAATGTAGTTCCATAATCATCTGACCAGCTCTGAGCCTCTGCGTGTGTTTTAATGTGGACTTTCAACTGATTCTACCAAACGTCAGCGTGCAGGGGGCGGGGCTTACCGCAACACTGCTGCCATTGGTTAAACTATCAAACACAAAACCGGAGTACGGCAAGCCATTTTAACATAAAATCAGCTTCATCACATTTATTCCAGAACTCACAAGTTAGTTTATGACCAGACGTGTTAACACATTGATATATCTGTAATTATATTCTGATTAGCACAAACAACATCAGATTTACCACTTAGGTAGCAAATTTTCCAATTTTCAATCTCAGACATTTTTTCTAGAAAATTTCTCAGAATTATTGTAAAATTCCTACTCCTTTTTTTTCTATGTACAGCCATCAAACTGTCGCAGATTCATAATTTTTATAATTTCTTTTCATTTTAATGTTTCGACTTTTATGAGATCCTTACATTTTCCTATTTAATCTTCTGTTTTTTGCTTTTAAAATAAACTTTTATGTCTGAATGGAACCAAAGCGGCTAAACCTCTGAGTGAATCTGAGTTAAATTTAAACTCCAGCTGCTTCGCAGACAGAAATACTTGACTGCATCTCATGACAATCTGATCCTCCTGCTTTATTGAATATTTGTTCATTTTTATAAAAGTATCAAACTACAGATTGTCAGGTTTTACTTTTATTTGACTTACATTTCAAGTTTTTAAAGCTTGAATTTGATTGAATTTAGGATTTTTAGACATATAAAACACATTAAACGTTCCGTCCAGTTGCTTAGTAATCACATATTTCTGGTTTAAAGTGAATAAAATCAAAGTTCTGGATGTTTTTCAGCAGCTGTATGCTTGGGCCGACCAGAACCTCTGCGTGTTCCCGCTGAACCCGACCCGCTTTCACCTCCTATGTGTTTGCTTTACCTGCAGCTGGTTCCGGATCAGAGTCCGTCCATATCCTGACCCAGAGAAACCTCCAGAACCTCCTGGAGACCCGGACCTGGTTCTGACGGGCTGGGTAGGTCCGGTTCCACTCCAGTTCCGGTCCGGTTCTGGTCTGAGCCTCAGGAAGTTCACAGCTGACTGGGAGCTTCTGCTGCTGCTAAATAAATCTCCAACGACCACCTGCTGCACGACAACTGTCCTCACACACACACACGCACACGCACACGCACGCACGCACGCACACACACACACACACACACACACACACACACATTGCAACAGTCTATTTTTATTCCAGAAGCTGAACTCTGTTGGTAACATCATGTTGAAGTTTGAAATAAATTGTTTCTCTAATTATTTATTTATTCTGACAGATTAAAATCTGATTTAATCTGAAATAATCTGCAAGCTTCAGAGTAAAGATAAAATGTTCATTTTCTGCATTAAAAATGTAATTTTATTGAGAAAAACAGATTTAAAACCCCCCAGTAAAACTGAATTCACCTGGAATAAATAATTTAGACTTAGACTTATTTTACGGTCATCGCACAATGACAGTAAAAAAAAACCTCCAGGAGGTTCTGGAGGTTTCTCTGGGTCGGGATATGGACGGACTGTTTCTTCATTGCACAAAGAAACAAAAGTGTCAATATCATCGCTTGGCCACCAGAGCACAGAAACACAAGTGAAAACAGTATTTTTCAAGCAGTGTCAGACAGTCTTGCTGATGCTTTACTTGGTTACTTTAGTATTTAAACAAGAAAAAGTGAAATATATTTTATGGAGGTTTGGAAATGTTATGATAATGTGACTGGATAATAACTAAAATGTATTATTTATGACTTAATATGATTATTCATGAGTAAGAAAATAACCAAAAACATTAATTATTGTCATAACTTAATTATGAATCCAGAAATTATTCATAATAAATAATTAAATAATGCAAATTCACAGAATTATAATTTTAAAAAGTATGTAATTGATTGAAAATAACAATAGAATGCAATACATTAATAAATCAAAGCAATATTATTTTATATTTTTTAATGTGGCATTTATAATAAATAAAATAATATAAATTATGCAAGATTCTACTTAATGTATTATCTATAAATAAAAGAATAAATAATTATATTTATTGTAGTAAATATAATAATTATAAATCAAACCATTAATTAGATAAAATAGTACAAATTATACAGGATTTTAATTTCTGTAATTAACTATAAATAAAAAGAGAGAATGCACCAGATGTAAATTAATATAATACATTTATAAATCAAGCAAGTATTCTAATTTAAAAAAGCATTTAAATATACATGATTGTAATAATTTAATAAATGTAATTATAAGACAACAATGCAATGAATTGATTAATATAATTAGTTATAAAGTCCACCTATTAGTTAAACAATTATATGGGTTCAGCTAATGTATTTATTGTTTATTAGTTTGTTTATTTGTTTATTTACTTTTGCTGTTGGGACTGAAGACATATTCTTCCAGTTCGGTTTGAGTCCGGAACCAAAGTTTAAATTGCTGAGATGTTTCTGGACGGAACCATTTAAGCTCTGATAAACAATAATAAATCATTAACAAAGAGGAACCTGCGCTGCAGTACCTGCGGCTAGGCAGCAGGGGGCAGCACCACTCTGCTCCGGTGATACTCCTCCTGCAGGGGGCGCCCTCTGCGCTCCACCTGCAGCTAGGATGCGCTGCTTCTGCAGGTGAATGAGGTTCAGGTGTTCCCGCCTCACCTGAAGCTTTTTATTTATTTATTTATTTATTTTTAACGTAAAGTTCGCGGCGGTGGATCGACGGCGGCCCCGCAGGGTCAAACAGGTTAATTCCCCTGAACGCGGGGCCCCTGCACGCCTCGCTGAGCAGCTCCGGGTCTTTGTTGGAGTTCAGGGTGGGAAGAGGAGGAGGAGGGAGATAAAAACAGAGCGGACGGACCGGGACGATCCACAGAACCGGAGCAGCGGGACCAGCATGGAGGTGAGGCGATTCTATCAAACATTTAGACTCAAAACTTACTGAACTTTTACTAAGAATAACAATATTTAACAGTTTAGATCAGCTTTAACAGTAAAGATTAAACATTTTATCGGCTCATTTCAAACAAGCTGCTCAGCAACACAAGTAATATGTAACAAAACACTTTTTATTTATGTGTGGATGGAAGTTTGAGCTTTTTATTTTTAGGATTTTAAAATAATTTGATGTTAAAAACAGGTTTAGGATGCATTTTCTTCCCAAAAACTGAAAACATAAATAAATAAAACTAATTTTCACAAACAGTTGGTTAAATGTAAAACTGATTCTTCAAACTGAACAACGTCTGAAAACGATCAGAATCAGGTTTTAGAGATCCTGGTGCTGAACTGAAACAAAAGAATTGGAATGCGGCCGCGTTTTCCCTCCAACGGCTGATTCATCAGAGACGTTTCTGGAAACAGAAATAACCTGCTGGTGTAACGCTAACACGACTCATTCTGCCCGCTGGAGTTACATTATTCAGACAAGTGTGTCCAAGATGAGGCGCGGGGGCCATTTGTGGCCCCTGGACTTTTTTTGTGTGGTCCATATGGGATAGAAATTTTCCCATCAGCGTAGATTGTTGATGCAGATGGAGACATATTTTTTAAAAAATGTTAGTATTCATCTTGTAATAACCAATCTTTCTGCTTTCCCTTTAATTTCACAGTAAATGTTGCGTTTATCCATTGAGTTATTTACACTATTAAAACTTTTTTCAAATAAAAAGTCGCCTAATCATGTTTTTATTGCTAAAAACACCTAAATCTTTTCTAGTTTTCTTCAGTCAAGTTACAAAAGTTGTGGTGCATGTCCCTGTTGAGCTTGGACCGTCTTGGTTCTGGTTCCAGCCGGTTCTGGGACAGTAAGGCTAACAGTCTTGGAGGCTAAAGGTCATGTTTTTCTTCCAGGTCGTTTGGTGAGGTTCCTCCCGGGGGCGGGCAGGTTCGGGATGCGGTGCACTGTTGTCATGTCCCTCCAATATTGCACTCGTCCCGGCCTCCCCGGCCCAGGGGTCGCGACCCCCCGCTCTCCTCCAGGAGGACAGGTGACACGACGTCTGGCGGCTTCAGGAAACGAGAAACGGCAGCGATCGGCTGATGGTTTGTAAACAACTTCAGAATCTCATCAGAAAGTCAAACTTTTCCTCCGAGAGTTTGAATTTTTTTAATTTTCACTAAAAATGTCTCTTTTTGACTCGTTAAACCTTAAAAAAAAAACGTTTTCCTCACCACCGCACCGTCGGCTTAATGCGTGGATAGGTTTCTTTCTGCATGGCTCTCTGCCCAGGGCGGCACAAACCCCAGGTCTCTGTCAGCTGCAGTTTAATGCTTTGTGTTTTTGCTGGGTAACAAGAAAGCCTGAGTTTGTATCTTTTATAATGAACGGTGATAAATTAAAGGGCTACTTCTCAGTTTTTAAAAAAATCTGGAGTGAATTTGATCAACTCCAGTAAAAAATCTAAAAGTTTAAAATGATTTAAACTATTTGAAATTTATTAGACCTTTATTATGTTTGTGAAATTTAAAGCCTTTTTAGTGTTTTTTGTACAAGTCAAACCTGGAGTGAATTATTCTACACAGTGGTGAGCACACTTCCGCTAGTAGTGCAGCTAACTTCTTGTTTAGCGCTGATTGAAGATAATCAGTCATCACTTAGCACACTTAGCTTCTCCTAAATAACTTTTTTCTGGATAAATTCTAACATGCTAATTTACTCAACTGCTTTTAAAAGTTTCAGTTGACTTAAGTTCAACATCTGTGTTGAAATTTTGGTTCTCCGTTTTCCCGCCATAATTTTGGCAGGAAAAGTTTTGTTCCTGTATGTTTCAAATAAGAAACATACAGGAACAAAAACAGACAGTAGAGATATAAATAAGATATAAACATAAAAATTATACATAAGATTTAATATGTAAATGATAATGTCAAAATTAAACTGGTTCTCGGGGGTTATAGACTTTCAAGAGCAAAGATAATTTGAATTGATGTTAGCAATTTAGCATTAGCTTCCACTAAATACAGCCTCGGCGCAGGGTTTTGGCGTTAGCAGAGGTAATGTTTATGATTGGTGCTTTAAGATTAGCTTCTGCTAAACACCTGTTGATGTAGCTTTAGAATTAGCAGATGTATTTTTGTTGTGCTTTTGTACAATGACAAGTATTCTGATTCTGAGCTAATGTTACAATGCAGTAACATTAGTGAAACTAATGTTCATAATTAGCACTTTAGCATTAGCTTCCATTAAATACCATGGCAGTGCAGAGCTTTACAGTTAGCACTGCCCACCACTGGTTAAATCAGTTGTTTCTACATTTCTCTAGAACATTGTTGAAATTTATAAATAATTAGGATTGAGATGTTTTTGTCTCAGAACTTTGGTTCTGGTGTTTGTTTCTCTGTTTGAGAGTCAGCCTCAGAATAAATCCTAAAAAAACGAAGGGGCCGTTGTTGGTTGGTTGTTTATTAAAAACATATAAAACATGGAGGACACTTTGATTCCAGCTGATTAGCCTCATCTTGCTGTTCTTCTTTTGTGGTTTCAGTGTGTGAAACTGGTATTGATGGCTATGTGTGACATATTCGAACATGTTTCCACCATGTTTCCTCCTCCTGTGGCTGAAGTTCAGTCTGCCTCCAGATTTGCCGTTTCCACTGCAGGAACTGCTTGACCCGCTCCATGTTGTTTGGAGTGACAACATGCATGTTTTACAGTGTAAGCGATAGTTATTGTTAGGTGTGCAACACGTACAGGTGAGTCATAACCTCTGATGACTTTTTGACATATTTACCTCCGTTTTAAAGCCGGTCGCAGAAAGGAGTCTGGTGCTCCACACGGAAGGAAAATGCTTCGATTCATGAGCTCAAAAGCTGGAGATGCAACGTCCAGTGTCATGTTTTATTTGGAGACAGTTAACACAAATGGTTGTTGGGTTTTCAGTGACAGAAGCAGAAACAAACTGGACCTCAAAGAGCTTTTTGAGTCTTTTTCCGTCATCAGGACAGAAGCAAACATGGTGGAACATCTCTTCTCCTGATGGTAGCAGATCGGGTTATTTCACGGAAACAGCCAAATCAAAGGGCGAAAACGATGAAGCTTTACAGTAGAGCCGAGTTAAGACCATGGAGGGAAAAGGTGGACACACTGGAGATTATGGCTGGTTTCTGTTTCTCCTGCTCCCAGTCAGGCGCTCGGCTCCCACAGAGCCGCCGTGTGTCTGCAGTCTGTCTGCCACGCTCAGACATGAATGTGCATGAGAAACTGCTGACGATGCGCTGCGAAGTCTTCAGGCACCGTGTCTGAAACAGCAGAAGAAGAGTTTTAAAGGAAAGTCTCGAGCGACACAGAGTCGCAGGCGGAGCGGTTTTTACCGTTGCATCTGTAGCGCAGGTTGGACCAGATGATGTTTTCCTGTGAGAAGCAGAAAACGCCGAGTCGGCCTCCTCTCATCGTCGTGTCGATGACGACGCCGGAGTCCGCCACCATGTCCGTCCCTTCAAAGAACCGCACCCTGAAAACAAAACCAAAACAGATAATCAATTAACCCAACAATCATTCCACCAACCAGTCAATGAAACAATCAATTAACTAGTCAATCAACCAACAAATCAATCAACCAACCATCTGTCATCCTTCTTTCCCAACTAACTAACTGGTTAGCTAGTTAGCTTCCTTCATAGCTAACTAGCTTCTTTCTTTCCTAGCTGACTTCCTCTATAGCTACTTAGCTAACTTTCTTCCTATCCAGTTATCTAGTTAGCTTCCTTCGTAGCTAACTGGCTTCTTTCTCTCCTAGCTAACTTCCTCTGTAGCTACTTAGCTAACTTTCTTCCTATCCAGTTATCTAGTTAGCTTCTTTCGTAGCTAACTAGCTTCTTTCTTTCCTAGCTAACTTCCTCTGTAGCTATTTAGCTAACTTTCTTCCTATCCAGTTAGCTAGTTAGCTTCTTTCGTAGCTAACTAGCTTCTTTCTTTCCTAGCTAACTTCCTCTGTAGGTTCTGGACCAGCAGGTTCTGGACCAGCATGTTCCGGACCAGCAGATTCTGGACCTGGTTCTGGACCAGCAGGTTCTGGACCTGGTTCTGGACCAGCAGGTTCTGGACCAGCATGTTCCGGACCAACAGATTCCGGACCAGCAGGTTCTGGACCAGCAGGTTCCGGACCAGCAGGTTCTGGACCTGGTTCTGAACCAGCAGGTTCTGGACCAGCAGGTTCTGGACCTGCTGGTTCTGGACCTGCTGGTTCTGGACCAGCAGGTTCCGGACCAGCAGATTCTGGACCAGCAGGTTCTGGACCTGGTTCTGGACCAGCAGGTTCTGGACCAGGTTCTGGACCTGGTTCTGGACCAGCAGCTCTTCGGACCTACACCAGAGTTGAGGGAAGTTCAGTTTTTCCCTCATAAACTCTTCCAGAGTTTCGCTCTGCATCTCATCTGCATATGAACGGCGGCCGAAGCGGATTCCTGCCAGGGCTCTGGTCGCCATGGAGACGGGTACAATGGGGAGCTGGGGGGCCCCGGGGCCACAAAGGAGGTTCAGAGGGGAAAGAATGCAGTAAAAAGAAAAAAGAGAAAAGAGACGAATAACGGACGAGTGCAGGAGACATCTGCAGGCTGAGAGTCTGACTCAGTGGTACCGTACAGTACTACAGTACTACAGTACTACAGTACTACAGTGCTACAGAGTACTACTACAGTACTACAGTGCTACAGAGTACTACAGTACTACAGTGCTACAGAGTACTACTACAGTACTACAGTACTACAGAGTACTACAGAAAATACCACACAGGACTTTCATACAGAGTACTGATGCCAGGATCAGAGATTTGTTTTTAATCATGAGAATAAAGTCAAAATGTCCCAGAAAGTTGTAAAATTATGATAAAAAGTCTTAATGAGAAAAGTTTGGATAAATTTATCTAGATCTATGTGACTAGATCAGTTTGTGGTTTTTTTCCATTCAGTTGTTGATTAATTACTTCAAAGTCCTGCTGATAATAATTTGATGCGGACGTCATATTTGGCTTTGTCATATGATTTTATTCTCATGTTTCAACTTTACAGGGTAATACTGCAACCTTATTCTCAAACTTTTACAATTTTATTTCTCATAATTCGACTTTATTGCCGGATGATTTTATTACTATATTCTCGTAATATTTGACTGTACTGTCATATTATTATGGCTCTAATTGTAATATGATTGTTTATTTTACAGTTTTATTCTTGTGTTATCTTGACTTTATTCTCGTAATATCGTGTCTTTATGTTTGTACATCTTTATTCTGTTGATTTTGAAAATTTTTCCTTTAATAAAGGAAACAAACATCAAAAACCTGCTCTTTATGTTTTTCTCAAGTCATGTCAATAAAATTAATTTTATTATTATTAATATTAATTAAAAAGTCAGAGGGATTAAAAGCAGAAACATGTAGGGGACAAACACTTTTCACAGAACTCTCATTGTTTGTGTTGCATCTTTTTAATGAAGTAGTTCCATTAAACCCTGTTGGAGGATTTAATGGAACTACTTTGTCATAAAGAGACAGTGTTAATATTTAGTGTTAATATTTAGGGATCAGTGTTAATATTTAGGGATCAGTGTTAATA